TTCACGACAGAAAAGTTTTAAAGTAAACGGTTGGCCTACTGTTATTTTAGGCTGGCTGCCCCAGCAGGGTTTTTTTTTTGTCTTGTTTTTTGTTTTTCAATAAATCTAACACTTTGGAATTAAACAGAGGGCAATGATTAAAGAACTGTGCACTACTGTTTTTTCTGGTAAATATTTTTTTGGTAAACTTTTTATTTCAGATTGGCAACACCCAATATGTTTTTCGATGAATGTAGCACCTTGCAAAAACTGACAATAAAAGTCAACTATTCATTTCACAACACAGGTACCACCCAACCATCTTGAATAATTGAGTTGGTTTGGAGCCAAGTTGGTTTTAGGCCAAAGTGTGGTCTGGAGCGATTTGGTTTTGGTCCGAGTTGGTTTGTGCCAAAATTGGTTTGGGCCGATTTGGTTTTGGGCTGAAGTGATTAGCATTTGCATTGAAGGCCTAAGAGTGCCCGCCAGATGAGAGAGGAGAATTGTCTGGCTGGCTTAGGGTTGTTCTGCTACAGTTATACTAGGCTTGGTCTAGGCAAGAAGGTCTGTATAGCAGTGCACCTCCCAGGTCTAGGCATATGTTAGACCTTGATTTGCAGGCACTTTTTGGTTATTTTATTTGACTTACATCAATGAAAAGTCTGCCCCTAGGGCTGAGGTCTTGGTCAAATATCCTAGCTTGACCCAATAATAAAATATAACCCTCGAACCAGTTCGGCATCAAAACAGTCCTGCTGTGAACCAGTCATGCCGAGAACCAGTCCCGCTGCAAACCACTCTCGCCACTCACAACTACAGCAAGGGATTTTTTTCATAAAAATGAAAACAGGTAATAAAATTTGAGTAGTTGAAAAAAAAAAAAAAAGAAGAAATTTGGGGAAACTGAAATACATAGAACCCCCTTCCCTACTCCATGTTTTTAATTTTCAAAAAATTGTGTCTTACTGGCCATTTCCAGTTATTTCTTTTAGCACCCCTTCACCACGCACATATACTATATAGTATATTATCGTTCTGCTTGTGCTAATTTAATTGCCTTTCATACAAAATATCTTACCCCTGGCTTTATGCATCATGAGCAACTTTCATGAGTTTGGCTAGACCTGGATTTAAATTATTATTTTTATTTCATTTCATTTAACAGTGTTAAGCCAAAGTTACACACAAAGTTCCTTGGCGTTATTAACGCTACCTGCAGACCCCAGATTAGCTAACGCCACTGGGCTAACGCCAGTGATGCTTGAATGATTTTATCTCATTTCAAGAGATTGACCAATCAGGATTGAAATATATTAGCTACTTGCAACAAACATGCACACATGATGCTCTACATACAGTCTGTCTCATATAAAGGCCTAAGTCTAATATGATTTAGCCTTGAATCCTAGAACATGATCATGTATTGGATTGGATTGTGGCAGTAACACTTGTTTGTAATCATCATTTACATTATTCTTTGCTATGACATCTACTATACTAAATACTAATAAACAGTGGTATTCTTTTTAATAGTGTCCATTTTGTTCATTAGAATGTTTTCAGGTATTGGTCAAAAACTGGTGCAGCTGTCAACTGCTCACTTCAGTTGCAGAGTCAGCTTCACTAAGCATCCACACTTGTACCAACAAATAGGAGGGATCCAGCAAATCTATTGTTACCATGAATCAGGAAACCTATTTGCGAAAAAGGGTAGGTTTTCAAGAATGGAAAGCACAGAGTAGTATATCAGTCCCTCAAGTTCTGGGAATGTCCCAGAAATCGAGACGGCCTCCCACAACCAGACAAGAATATTCTGGAAAATAACTCGCCTCCTGCAAATTCATTTAATCTGCCTGTTTTTACTACCATGAAATACCCCTTTATTATTATTTGTCTCACAGAAGTCAGTGTTGATAGGTATTACCATAAGCATCAAAACAAAATTAGAAAATTAGATGTACAGTACTAAGAAAGCTTGTGTAAATAGATCTCCTGGTACAGTACTAAGAAAGCTTGTGTAAATAGATCTCCTGGTACAGTACTAAGGCTATGTTCACACACGCAGCCTAAGGCTGGCTTAAGCATGGCGTAGCGTACGCCTTTGTGTGTGAACTAGGCAGTGGCATTGTTAAAGCAACTCACTACGCCACGTCCTTGGCGTTATTAACGCTACCTGCAGACCCCAGATTAGCTAACGCCACTGAGCTAATGCCAGTGATGCTTGAATGATTTTATCTCATTTCAAGAGATTGACCAAACACGATTGAAATATATTAGCTACTTTGGTCTCTTTCCTGTGCTCTCTATAAATGAAATGGTAAAGGGGTTCTTTTTCTATTGCATTTTACTTAGTTATAATGTATATGCTTTGTTGATTGTGTTTTGTAAGATATTTTAACCTATTTAGACTGTCTATTAAAACCTGCAACACCAACAATGCTAGCTGAAAAGTCAAAGTAAAATTGTTCATTTAAAATACAATAATCATAAGTTCACTTCGAACAATTCACAGATTTAAAAGTTTTACTGATGCACTGTTAATTTTACTACAGTTAAGAACCTGTACATTATTTAAAACTTAAAACTATTCCCCCATAGGCCTATATTACTACTAGTTTAACGCCAGCGTTAATATAGCGAACGCCGTTTGTGTGAACACTTTGGAATTTTAATCTATGAATTAGCTTACGCCTGGCGTAAGCTACGCCAGTCTTAAGTCGTGTGTGTGAACATAGCCTAAGAAAGCTTTTGTAAATAGATCTCCTGGTACAGTACTAAGAAAGCTTGTGTAAATAGATCTCCTGGTACAGTACTAAGAAAGCTTGTGTTAATAGATCTCCTGGTACAGTACTAAGAAAGCTTGTGTAAATAGATCTGGAAATGCCTTCTTCAAACATAGGAACCTGGTGTGTAAAGTTACAGATAAATTGACTTAGGCCTCTACTACAAACAGCTACTCAAGATGCTACATAAATCCCTGAACACAGGCATCCCATCCAATTTTTTAAAATGTTTTTCAAAGTAATTGCATAAAATAAAGGAAGATATTGCTTTCGTTTTTCAGGGAAGAAGAATCAGCCTAAGGTGGATGTGAGTCGCTCGATAGATGAAGACATTCTGAATTTAGATGAAGTCAACACTAGCATGAGTTCTTGTATAGAAAAATTAAAAGATGACTTTGTGAAGAAGATTGCACTAAGAACAGCTCAAGGTATCGAGAACATTCTTTCCATTGCACGACAACGACGTGTTTTGGGGTCATGCTGAAGGTTACACGTCATGGCCCTGTTAAATCACACCGAATGCCGTTTTGAACTGATTCAGCACGTCAAGTCCAAATCTATAATAACAACATGTTTATATTTATCAGAATTTTGAGGGTGCAGCTGACTTTAAAGAGTTTAGGGATTCATTTGCTTAAGCTGCCCCCAACCATTTTTTTTTTCTGGCCGAATAAATATACAGAACAAAAACATCCAGGGCTGGGTGTAAATCTTTAACAAGGATGCCTACAACATTGAATTCACAATCACTTATTACAAGAATACTTTGTGATTAAATATGAATAAATCTCATCCCTTCCATTACCACCTGCCCAATACGTTACGTCAGTCTATAATGTTGAAAACATGATTTCATGATACTCAAATTGGATTTACATATTATTTTCAATTTTTCATTTTCTAAGTGTGGCAAAGACAAGCCAAACCAGTCACTTGTCGCAAAAATTGATTTTTAGTTAATACAGTGTTCAACAGTAAAATGAGCGCTATAAAATGGTGAAAGAATAATTTAAATCCAACATGTAATTAAGAAGTTGCAAGTGTTAAAAAATACAGCTGTTTAAAGAACAATATTTGAGAAATCAGCCTTCAAATATTATGATTTTGAGCATTTCTCAGGCAGAAACTATCACCAAGTCGTTAAAATTGTTGTTTTAACATTGAAAATGGTAGAAATAACAGCTTAGCATGATGTATAGATACTGTATATAAAGATTAGTTTAGTGCTTCCAGCATGTTTTGGCCAATATCTCTGAAACAGGATTTGCGACAGGGGACTGGTTTGGCTTGTCTTTGCTACAAATAATGAACAAATTTGAATAGTTAATGTAAATGTACTGACATTCTTTTACTATTCATGATTCATTGTTGCATAGGTGCTTTGGATCATATTGTGGTGAAGACAAATGATGGCAAATTTCCTCTCAATCAACTTGGTCAAATTTCAGCAAAGTCTCCTCATCTGCTTGTAGTCAATATTTATTCACAGGTAATAATGATCATAATTGTGTTTTTTTTTTTTGTAAGCTTATTGTGGACAGCGTCGCCCAAGTCCTACACCACTCGGTATGTGCTACCCCCACCTACAGCACTTGGTTTAAGGGGTTGTTGGGTAGTACTGTGTTGTACCAGAACCAGAGAGAGGCATACATACTAAATGATGCTGAACACATACTAAATTGTATATACCTCCCGAAATGTTTCAACCGAACTTACCAATCATCGTATTCACTCAAGTGGTATACAGTAAAGATATTCATGATTTTTTCGTTTTTTTTTTTCTCTAGTATGTAAAAGAAGCAGCAAAAGCTATTCAAGTTAGCGGTATGAACTTAAACCCAAAAATCGAAGGCACCTCAATACAAGTACCTATACCAAAGTAAGTACTATATAATTATAGTCCAATTGAGGCATGCTCTTTATTTTTGAAAATTTATTGATGCAATTTTTGTTATATATTTATTAGTGTAGTTGGTATAGACCTGTGTTACACTACTATTGAAAATGCAACCTGCATTCAACCTTTTATAAATGATAGCAATATCACTACATGTTGACTCACTGTCAAGTTTTGAATAAACCTAGCATCAAGTATCATGAGAGTGATACTGGATGCAATTCCTGTTTACGCAACAACAAAATTTACGATGAACTCTATTTACACTCATTTATGCTGGTAATGAACCCAGATAAAGAATAGCTCCAATACTGCCTTCTGTGGACGAAAAAATATGTTGATATGTTGCATCTATCCAAAGAAACAAATATGGTGTTTGACAAAAAACTGGGAAACGGTTAATGAGGTACAGATTTTTGAATGTTTATAAACTGGGGGCATAACCACCCTTTTCTCACCTTCTTTTCTCAGTTTTTACATATTACAAAATATGTATCTTATTATCCGTTTCTGAGTTTTTTTATCAAACACAATTTCTTGTGTCTTAGAAAAATCAGCTGTACCACATATCAAAACATTTTTTTCTCCGGAGCCAGAGGCTTTAAATGTGTATCGTCACAATGCACACACGTAGCTATGGCACCTAGCACAATTGAGCCAAGCTTGAAGCAAGAAATTGCTTCAAACATCTTTTAATGAGACTTGGGCTGCGTTTAGACCTGATATACGCCAGGCGTTTCTAACCCCGGGTGTACGTTTTGCTGTGCTGTAACTATCGAGATGTCCAGACTAATTAATTAACGAACACTAGCGCAAGTATTCATGTGAAATATTCGTATTCGTAATCGCGTATTTTATTTCCTGTTTTTATCTAAGCTTATTGTGATTGGTCAAATCCTAGACGAGTTCAAAATCATTGATGCATGACTGTCGTAACTCAGTGGCGTATGCTAATCTGGGGTCTGTTGGTGGATTATCGTACGCCAGTGATTGCGTGTTAATACTCGTGTTTGCTACGCTGCGCACAAGTTTGCACCACTCGATTAACGTTACACTAGCGCAAGTCGCTGTGTCTGAACATAGCCTTAGTTTAATAGAGCTTCATGGACATGTTTTACAGAAATTCTAATAAAAATAAATTTACTTTTTCAGAGTTACTAAAGAACATAGAGAGGCACTTGCAAAGACTGCTAAGGAGATGTGTGATAAAACAAAAGTTGATCTGAGGAATAACAGGTCAAAGTTCATTTCAAGAATTAAGAAGCATTCTGCTTCAAAAGATGTTCTGTTCCAACTTGAAAAACAAGTATCACAGATATCTGACAACTTCAATGAAAGAGCAGATTTTATATTGAAAGAAAAAACAAAAGAATTATTAGAAAATACATAGCAAATCCAAAGCTAAATAAATTACTTAAAAATACATCTGTACAAATACCAGTAATAGAATAATCAGAACTATTTTCAATAAAACAGTAAAGAAACACTGAAAATCAGGGCTTTTTTAATGTTACGGGTAAAGATCTTTGATATGCTCATCATGATATGCTTTTCATTGGTAAGATAAGATAGTGTGCAGGGGTGATAAAAGATTTATTGAGTGACACCTATGACCAGGAGACTGGTTGATTTTTCCCTTCACATTTACCAGCAATTACACTTGCCACTTAAAGGATGAATGCGACTTAAGCTCACTGCGCCAAGACAAATCCAACTCCTCACTGTGAGCGCTAATTGACGCAACACTGTCTGCTGTTTGTCAGCAGTCTGAACGGATTGTAATTTAAACAATCAGTTGGGTGCACGTCATGGCTTTGTATTCTCTATAGAATCGTGTCGGCCGACAGGAACTGTGAGTGCCCTAGGGATTAACCACAAAGCTATACCACTGCTGCCCCAGATTTGACCAGATGATATGAGTTACTGTAACTTGCATTTTGAGTACCCAGATTGGACTGGTATAAGAGCTACTGCCATCTGAATCTTGATCCTGGACAGTAGAAAGTCTTAACCCAGAGTAATCTGAGAAAGCTATCAGCCACCCACATTTCGACATATCCTATAGTGTTCTGGGGTTGTGAGTTATTGTCACCCAAATTTTGATAACCCATAAAAGGTTTATATTATTTCTCCTTCCTCAGAATAAACTTCATGAAGTTATTATGTGCTACTTGAAAATTTTGCAAAAATCGATTCTTTAAAAAAAAAGTGCATTATTACTATAGAAGGTTCTACCTACTTTATATTTATTTTCGCTCAGAAACATGATAGGTTTTCTCCCTGATTATTAATTCCGTTAACCAATGTTTAAAAGCATATAACAGTGTGTGGATACACGTCACAACCTTGTGCAACAGATTTCTGAAAACACGATTTATTCTCGATGACCCATCCATATTATTTTATTTACCTGCACAGATACATCAACGATTTTCTTTGTGGTTCTCCAGTCATGAAAATAAAAAGCATAAATACGTCTTGCAACCATAATTGCAACTTGTTTCTGAAATGTGATATATTCTAGATTTACCCTCCAATTATAATAAATCGGATAATTAAGTGTTTTATGGGGTTTTTTTTGTCACTGAAACTACATTATTTAGTGTATCTTAAAAGACGCAACACCGATTTTGTGATGCTCCTGTAACCATGGAAATAAAGAGTATAACAATCATTGATACTGTAAGACTCTCAAATAATTTTAACAGACACCATTTTTTGTTATTTTGTACCCATCAACAGCGATTTTCTTCGTGGTGTCCAACACGTAAATTTTACCAAAGAAATACGATATTTCTTAAATAGTTGCAGTAAACACTATTGTGTTGTGTTTAATTTATCACTGAAGCGTGAATTATTTCACCTGCACACATCAATCCAACATAAATTTTCTATGAGATGCTCCAGTAGTCATTATAAGATATATACCAACAAACGTGCTACTACGACAAAATAATTTTGGCAGATATTATGTTGCGTGAATCCTTTACCACTTGTACTCCTTGTCAGTCCAGCAGCAATCTTCTATGTAATGCTCCAGTAATCATGTAAATAAAGAAGTTACAAAAAAATTAACACTACACTCCTATATAGCATTATATAGCAGACAACATTTTTGTCGTTATTTTATTTTATCAATAAAACGTAAACTTCACCCATCAATTTGCAACAGCAATTTTCTCCATGGTCCTCTAGTAATCATGAATATAAAGAACAACACTATTTTCTGTGTTGATGTTATCAAAACCTTCAAATTATTTACCTGCACCCGCAACAGCAATTTTCTACCTTGTGCTCCAATTATCATAAAAATATAAAATATGACAGCGTATAATTTATTCACAGTGAGTTCTTGAAGTTATTTTAACCTTAACTATTAATGGTAGGCCTATATCGATGAAATGTTAACAGATTATTTATCTACACCAATATGCAGCCACAATGTCATAGGACTCTAGTAATAAAGTAATAATGAAATGACCATGTTAGTGATACGTGCAAGAAAATACTGGTCAGTTTTTTCTACCGCAGTCCCCCACCCCCCCCCCTACACCTACCGCAGTCCCCCCCCCCCCCAACACCTTTAGGAAGGTAAAAAAAGAAAAAGAGAGAAAGAAAGAAAGAAATTATCACCCAAAACGCCTCATTTATTTCCGGGCGTCTAGAACACAAAAATAGGCTACCGTATATATATAATTTATAAATTAATCAAAGTATTATGTAAAAATCTGAAATATTTTAAGAATATAAGGCCCAAAAAGATTATCGTCGCCACCCAACCTGAATTTCAACCAAAAATTTTAAAAAAAATATCTGAGGCGGGATTTTTTAAAATTAATAAAACAAATCCTTGAATAGGCCCAGGCCCGTATTTAGGTGGGATCCCAGGCCAACTATTTAAAATGAATCTTGGAGAATTTGATTGAGTTTACTAATAAAAGTTATTATTATGATAAAATGTAAAAAAATTATGATAAACATAGTGGATAGGTTTGCATCAATGCATCCCCATAGAATGACTCTGAGGAGCCTGCTAGACGATTGACTCTATTATACCTTCAACTGGGATTTTCAAAAGCCGATTGAAAACTCATCTTTATAACTCACTATAGACCACTCAAATTCGTTCATTTTCGTTGCTCGATAGGCCAATATTTAGTTACACACATCATTATGACACCTATGAAATCAATAGCTGACCGGCCTTGGTCGGTCAGTGAAACGGTGTGATGATGTGTGATTCTATTTTTTATCTGTTTTATCGGTTATTCTGTTTGGTTAGTTTAGGTTATTTCCGGTCAAATTTATTTCCATACATTATTCACATATATTTTTCAAGCGCCTTGAGACGGTTTCGATCGTGGAAGGCGCTATATAAATATTAAACCATAAACCATTATACATCTGTATTGTCTGGTTGAATGTAGAACATAGACCTAATGTATTATTTTATGTTAACAACCAAACAGTAGGGGCCTACTTGCTCATTAAAGCTAATGTATGCTTTAATAGGTACATGTTGTTTTTTCTTATTTTTAATCTGCTAATGAATGTACTTACAGTTGAACCTCGTAACAACATACCCCCTCGGGACCATAGAAATTGATTCACTGTATATCCATATAGCACATGTTATAACCAGGATAAAAAGCCATTGATTGTAATCATTGGAACTTAAAGTACTTAATTTATATCACTGTTTTACACTGGAAAGGTATGGACCTATTATTATAACGAGGTTTGGATGTAAATGTATAGTTAACGTTATTCGCTTTTGGATGCACATTATTTTAATTAATCAAAATAGATATTTATATACTAGTGTTATGAATTTCAATTAAGAAAAGTTGAAAGAAATGAGGAGTGGTGGACAATGAAAGTTAAAAATTTACTGTTCATATGGTTTAGTTATGTTTGGAATAATCGAAATGTCCATGATAAATATAATTTTATTCACGAATTCAATTAAGAGTAACTGATATAGAAATACAAAAATGTTATGAAATAATGAGATCACAATCAAAAGTATTATTGTTTATTTAAACAAAGTATTACAACAGATAATCATCTTTTAAATATCCACAATTTAAAATATAATAATGTTAACTATAGGCTAAGGCTGGGCATTCTAGAACTCGAAATTGAAACTGGTCACTGGAGCAATACTCCACAACAAAACTGTATTTGTAAAATGTGCAACAATGATTTAGTGGAAGACGGGTTTCATTTCAACATTAGAAAGAAGTTTATTCCGCAATATTATTTCAATTATAATCAATCAAGAAGTTGTCTTTTTTAATGTCTAATTAAGTTAACAATTATTCTGGCACAATATACTCATCTTGCTTTTAAGAAACGAACACTTTGGGCGAGACTTTTTTATACCTTGTTTCGCGAACTTTTTTTGGAAAATCTTTCAAGAGGAGGGCGGAAAAGAAATAAAAATAAAATTATATTTATATTTATTTGAGGAATATATACTTCGTGATTACATCACATAGTACATCTTTTTACGATATTAAAAAGTATGCAACTTTAAATTTTCGGAAAAAGGGATTCCATGTAGCGGAGAACAGAATAAAAATAGATATAAATTTTTATTTTTATTTCTTTTTTTCCCCAATTTTTCATGGCGGCTCGTACGCTAACACACTTATAATAAAATTTTATTTTTATTTTGAAATCCAAAATTTCGGAATCGGAGGGTTCGCTAAACAAGGTATAAAAAAATCTCGCCTTATTTAAAGCACTAAAAATGTATATTTATTTATACTGTAAAAGGGCCTGAGGCCTATCACACTGAATAAAATCCCCATTTAGGGGAGAGAAGAAGAAGTATGTGGGTTTTGATAAGGAGTTCCGCATAGTCCCAAGCCGAACCCCCCCCCCCCATTGAAATTCCTAAATACGGGCCTGAGGCCTATTGGTAAAAAATGCTAATCAAAATCATAATAAAAATATGAGTGAATTGAACAATTTCACCAACCAGATATAGGGCCTAATATTTATTGTAGCCTATTGAAATAATAATATAGGCCTATGCCTAAATAACTTGTTTTCTGAATGAAAACCGTCAAATGTGTTATTCGCAATCCTGACATTTTAAGTTCAACCAGATTATGTAATTGTTAAGGAGTAGCATTATAGAATGTGTTGAGAAAGGTGCTGCTTCCATTAGTTTTGTTTACAGTTATTTGGGTTTGTGGGTTGGGATGGGGCGGGGAAGGTGTGGGCGTTTATTCGAGGGAAAAATAAAGGCCCGCGTCGATATTCGAAGGGAGGCGCACTTTTATTCCAAATGAGGTTCTGGATGGGGCGTTTATTCGAATAAATACGGTATATTCATGTAAAAAGATTTAATACTTTGTAATAATTATTACTAATTAAATTGAAATATAATTCTATTACTGTATACAAAGAGTCCACTCAATAACAATAGACAAGGCAATTGTTTTGTTTGTGGTGGCTCACTACTGACGGTGTGTGTGATCATGTTTTCTTTATGCAAGTAGGCTACATTAAGCGAGCGGTTTTGTAGTTATGTTCCGAGTTTGGCAGGAAAGATTACAGTATGTGGATTATCAATAATTAGTTTGATAACTTTTGCGAAAAACGGAACAACGAAATTTAAAATATCGTAACTAAACATCTCACTCTTTAGATGGTAAGCCTAGGCCTAGCTAGGCGCCAGCTTAGATTCGTTCCCGTCGGCCGCGACTGGGCTTCTACGGTATACAATTTTTGCGAGCGGCCAAACAGGCCTAGGCCTGGCGGGCGGCCTAGCTATAATAATTTTCAATTACCAGACGTAGTCAAGTTAATACTCCTCTACTATACTATTTAGCTAGGCTAATACCAGTACAATTTATGAGTAGGCCAGGCCTAGCGCCTAGTCTACCAGATTTTCCAAATTTCGAAAATGATCGTTTTTGGGCTAAAACTAAAAAAAAATGGCAACGCCACCAACGGAAATGTGAGAGAACGGGGATTCCCCGTACGTTAGGCTAGTGGCGTGGATGGAGTTTCCCCATCTGCTGGCGGATAGATCACAGTTGCTTGGGGACACTACATCATCACCTTGATGTATACGAAACCGCCACCCCATGCAGCATGTGCAAATATTTCTCTGGAATTTTCCTACTGCAACCTATTTATCATAAAATAACATAAAGTACTATCTGGTACATGGAATTTTAATTTAAAAAAAAGAAGCTTGTTTTGAAATACCTTCTCATCGCCCCTGTTTCCTCTTTCTTTTTTTCTCTCCTTTCCCCCTTTGTGTTTGGCACGGGCCCTATCCCCTGTTGCTCCTCATGGATCTGCCCTTGATGTTTCCCCTTCATTTGGAACCAGCACTGAAATTATAACAAAACTACAATTCAATTATATATTTATGATATTTTAATTTATGTACCTGCTTCTTCTTTCAGTATATTTCTCAGGACACATGTTTTCATATCGATGGTACCACAAACATTATTTTACAAGTTAGTATTTTTTTCTGTGAATTGGTATCTCTTTTAACTATTGTAAAGTGTTACATAGATTGGATTGGAGTTATTCAGTGTAAACACCAAGAAAGTCTAGAAGAAGACTTATTTCCATTGGGGTCCTTCAGATGGTACAGTACAGTACACACGGAGACAATCACATACTCTTTTCTGAAGTCATAAATACACATAGGACCAACGGTTTAAACGTCTCATCCGACAGACAGTGCGCTATTGTAACTTGTATTTCAGCCTTCTAGCTAAAACACAAGGAGAGACAGTGATGGGAATTGAACCAGGGACCTAGAGATCTCCACGGTTCAGCGCATAAACAGTTGCTACCACCAGATTAGCTGAATGAGCTAAACTGCTTAATTTCCCTTTGAGTATACTGAGAATGCTTAGAAGTTTTGAAAGAAATCCCTATCGTATCTTTCTATTGTAAAATAATACTTAACCATGTTTTTTTATCCGTGCATTTAATGCATTTGTGCATCATAAGTGATAATGGTAATGATAATGATAATGGTCTTTTATGTCATTATTGGCATATAGACGTACAGCAATCTTAAAACCACAAGAAATAGCTCTTAAAAAGAGGAAGAATTTGTAGAGGGTGAAAATCAAAAGGTTTTTATCTGTTTACCAGTATGTAATCTATTTACTTAAACAAAATGTATGTTTCTATAATATATCTTAAAAACCAAACCGACAATTATTTAAAGATTAGTGTGAGTGATATCCCAAGACAAAGAGATTCCTAATTGATATTTGATGCATTAAAAGTTTAAATGAATGGATTGCTTCATTTTATAAAGATGAATGGAAGAGAAAGATAGACATTTTCTACCTACTTATTGAGAAGAAGTTAAAGGACGGTCGGAAGGTTGAAGAGGGGATAAATCATGTAGAAAACAATTGGTAAGATTATCTTTGTTCTGTGTCTAGGCATACCCACTAGGGTCTCTTGGTTGTCTGGGGGAGTCTAAGCTGTGCAATTGAGGTAGGTGGTTTTTGGCCTGGCCTGCCTGACAGGGTGGCTTAATACAGAATACAGAAACTTAAACTGGTACTACAGTGATTCCTTCCAGTGAGGCAATGGTGCATTTGGAAGCACAGTTGAATGATTTCTTGGATACCTACAAGCTTACATACTGTACATCACACTCCTCATCCTACTAGAGGCTACTTGTGGCACACTTTAAATCATTCCTGATGATGACTTAATTAATGTCGAAAAATTGAATCCCAACACGATGGCGTGTATTTCAATACTTGGAGTATTAAATCAATGGTGTGTGAGATCATTTAAGCTTGCGGTGAAAGTGTGGAACCAAAAAAAACATTGTTATGCGTCTGTAACTTCTTCATCATCATCATTGTTATTGAAATTTTTTTTTTTTTTTGCTTTCCTTCAAGTCATTCCTCAGCAGTTCCTGCTGAAAATGTTAAAACCAATGCAAAATATCAAAGAGACTGTAGTAATGTGAATATAAATCACCATCCTGTTGGTAAGATTAATGTTGTTATTTAATACAATACATTACATTATATGTAGGCAGTGGCAGCTGTGAGATATATTTTCTGGGGTGGGGGGTGGTCTGAGCTGTCCAACATGGGGACTTGGGCTCGTAGGCCTGAGCTGGGGGAAAGGTTTGCGTGGGTGTTCCCCCTCCCAAATGAGATTTTTTTAAGAATAGGAACCTCTGGATGGCCAGAAAGGACACACTCTGATTGTGACAGACATGTTGTTGGCTTGGCGTGGGTCTAATTTTATATATTTTTTAGTCTGACTGCCCGACGAGCTCTGTCTGAAGGGTGGGGGGGGGCCTTGACCTGTCCTTGCGGGGGGGTGCTTAATCCCCTGCTGCCCCCTGGCTGGCGCCACCACTGTATGTAGGATTAGCCGTACTGTACTTGCACAAATAGATAGATATGCCATTGTAGCTAGTCATGTAGTATCCAATTTTGGCAAGTACATTTGTCTTTGTGCATAATTTTTTATTTATTATTTATTTATACAAGATATATTTTTCCTATTTATTAATTAAATTTATTTTTTTAATACATAGGATACATTTTCAAATCAGGTGTAATAATCAGTTTTTAATAATGGTGTTGTATCAGAACTATTTAAATGCAAAATTACTGCACATACAAATTTATTGTTTTTCCATATTAAAAAAAAAAAAACTATTAGGTTTTCAAGTTGAAACATTACAAAAGATTAAGTAGATGAATTTGTACATGCTTGAAAGTAGGCAAATTCTGTATCGAATACCAAGTTGAATTCATCAGTGATGTGTTTTCATTACAGTACCTACTGTATATGGTATTCTAGCTATAGCAACTAAACCTAACAAATTCATATATTGAATTAATATGTAATTTTATCAATAGCAATGTATGCACACAATTTCTATTTGTGGTGTTTTTATTTTTATAGTCTGTGAGAAGTTGGCTAATTCCACTATTGCACAAAAACAAAATCCAAGCTATGCACCCAACCTCAGTGGTTGTTCTTGTCTTCATCAAGCAAGTTTTCAGGTCTGTTCACAGTATTTTCATTATTTATTTGTATATACCATGTTAATTAAGTTAAAACATCATTTCTTTTTTAATATCCAGAGGATCACTTCATATACATAAATTAGTACTATTAGAACTTTAGTAATGATTTACATGTTGTATATGTTAAGGATTGAAATTAATTTGGTCACTTAAAGAATTTTAATAATATTTTTTAAACAATTATTTTTGCAGGGAGATTTGGTAGCAGTGGAACAATTGTTGGACAATGGGATTGATGTTAATGTGGAAGGATATGGTGGTCTCACTCCCTTGC